CGGCCTTCTGTAGTGACCATCTACTGGCAGAAGTTTTGGGCCCTCCAGGACCACACACATTAGGAAAGCCTGTGGCCAGGTAAGGTCCAGGAGCAGAGACAAGGCCACTTGCAGTCATGCAGGAGAACTCCATGCCACCAAGGCAAGGGCCACAGCAGCCTACCTTCTAGCACTCGGCCCCCGGATCCAGGCACTTCAGACCCTGCACAGTGCAGCATCGAGCAGCCTGGGTGGGTCGCCACCACCGCCCCCCCCCCGGAGCAGTAGGTGTCCTCACACAGCTAGTCTTTCCCTCCCCCACGCAACTGACCCGGCCCTTCACCCCCTCACAGGCTCTGCCATGCCTGAGTCCCATATGAGTGTCACTGCCAAGCAATCTCGTCGCATATCTTTCTCTGTTCATGGACCTCTACTTTGCCATGCATGATGGCCTTGTCTAGGGACTGGTCCCTCCGGATTACCTGTCCAAAATCTGTGACCAGAAGCCTCAGCATCCTTGCTTCTGAGCATTCAGGCTGCACTTCCACCAGCTGGAATCAAGGTGGTGGGAGTGGCTTTGAGCATCCTAGCCCTGAGGGGACCAAGCAGCAGTCTGACCTCCCTCCCAGGGCTCATTCCCTGGGAGGTGAAGGGATCTGTGCTTAGCCGGGAGCAGGGGGTGGGGGGTAGCACCACCAGCATCTCAGGGAGAAAGCCAGGAAGCGAGCATGCAGACAGCCCCAGGCACAGAGCCCAGGGCCCAAGCCGAGTGTCCTGGGAGACCAGCAGCCCTGCGGCCAGGGGTGCAGGGAAGGCCTCCCTGTGAGCCCCAAATTGAAAGGCCACAGGCCTGACAGGAGGCCCGGGTTCCCCACTCTCTGCAGTGGGAAGCCCTCGATAAAGCAATTTGGGTTTTGATAAATGTGGACGCTCTGGAGCCGGGACAAAGGCGCCCTTGAGTCCGGAGGGGAACTCGAACAGCATGGTGCTGAAATGCATTTCCTGATAATATTTTTAGCACCTGGGAAAAAAAGTTTTTTCTTCTCTTTTTCTCCCTGCAGAGGTTTTCTCCCCTTTCTTTTTAATTAAATGTAATTCTCAGTGTTTGGGTCAGGGTTAACCCCCACCAGCCGAAGTCCAAAGAAAACCAAGTACACAGCAGAAGGTGTGGTAGTGGGCAAGGGTCATGGTTATAATTATGGACATGGTCGTGACAATGGTCATGGATGTGGTCCTGCGAGGCAAGTCCAGAGTCCAGGAGCCAGGAGCGTAGGGTGGCCAGGCAGGATATATGCAAAGCTGCCTGAGGGTCCCACTGCACAATCAAGTCGAGATTGCACCCAGCCTGCTGAGAACTCTGGTGCTAGCACCATGCTGGCTCTGGGGCAGCTCTACCTTCAAAACCTCCAGACAAGAGCCTGGCTCAAGGAAAGTGAGTCAAGGCAAGCAGTGCAGTCACACCATCAGGGGCGGTCAGCACATGGGACGTCAGTGCAAAGGGGGGTCAGCATGGAGTAGGGGGCAGGGCAGGGTAGGTCAGTGTGGGCGGGCATCTGCATGGAGTAGGGGTCAGGGCGGAGGGGGGCAGATTGAGCGGGGTCAGTGTAGGCAGGTGTCTGCATGGAGCAGGGGTCAGAGTGAAAGGAGGTCAGCACAGAAGAGGAGTCAGCACAGAGTGGTCAACATGGGGAGGTCAGTGTCAGTACAGGGGGGTCAGTGTAGAGGGGGTGAGTGCAGGGGGTACTCAGCATTGAGAAGGGTCAGCACAAGGGGGCCATCAGTGTGGGTGAGGGTCAGTGCAGAGGGTCAGCAGGAGGGGGTCAGCATGGCGGCAGGTCAGTGTGGAGGGATGGCCAGCGGGAAGCTTTGGTAGCAGAGCTGCCGAAAGCCATAGGGAGTGGGTAAGGAGTCAGGGGTGTGAGTGTGCACAGAGGAGTAAGTATACCTGTGAGGGGTGTACGTGCGTGTAAGTGAGGATGTGTGATTGTGAGTGCATGTGTGTGCAAGCTTGAGTGTAGTGTGTGTACTCTGAGCATGTGGGTGTGTGAATGTGTGTGTGAGTGTGCATGACTCCCGCCTCACTCCACTCGGCATGGATCAGGGCCCTGTCTTCAGCCTGGCAGTAGCTGGAATCACCAACTTTGCTCACAAAGAAGTCTGGGGGTTCAGAGCTTCCTTTCACTTCACGACTTGGAGCCACAACAGCCCTGGTCCTAGGAGTTTTGAAGCTGAGAGGTTGGGTCACTGAGCTATGAGGCAAACAGGAGTGGACGGGGGTCCTTCACTCCACAGCTTCAGTGTTCCCCTGTGCAAAGCAGGTTCTTTATACAAAGAGACAAGTGAGGCCCAGGTGTAAGATTCAAGAGGGTGTCGTTCTCTGAATGCAAGGTCTGCTCCAGAAGCAGTGGCCCCATAACTCCTGGTGCCAGCTGTCCCGCCCAGGTCCAGGCCCTATCATCTAGCCAGGGATTGGGACCATACTCATTCACTCACATGGTTTCTTAAAAGTAAGTTAATATCTACAACCAGGAAAGAATAAAATAGATTAATATGATCTTCTAAGAATCAAATCCCTATGCACATCCAAAAACCCAACAGGATAAATAGAAAAGCTACAGACTGGGGGAAAATATTTGGCAATGATATATCTGATAAGGGACTTATATTAAGAATTTATAGAATACTCCAGCACCTCAACAAGAAAAAGGTAAACAACCCAATCACAAAGTGGGCACAGGATATGAACAGACATTTCAATAAAGAAGACATTCAGCTGGCAAACAAACACATGAAGAAATGTTCAAAATCCCTGGCTCTAAGATTCAAATCAAAACAACTATGAGATATCATCTCACCCCAGTAACAATAGCAAGATTCAACAGAACAGCAAACAACAATTGCTGGCGAGGTTGTGGCGAAACTGGAACACTTATTCACTGTTGGTGGGAGTGTAAAACGGTGCAACCACTGTGGAAGGCAGTACGGTGCTTTCTCAAAAAGTTGGAAATAGAGATACCATTTGACTCAGCAATTGCACTACTGGAAATATACCCCAAAGAAACCAGAACTTTCACCCAAACAGATATATGCTCACTATTGCTGCCTTGTTCATAATAGCAAAGCAATGGAAGCAACCCAAGTGCCCATAAATGAATTAATACATAGAGAAGCTATGATATATCCACACAATGGAATACCATGCAGCACTGAAAAATGAAGAACTCATGAAATATACAAAATGGGTGACCATGTAGGACATTATGCTGAGTGAAATATCCCAGTCACAAAAGGACAAATACTGCATAATGCCACTGTAAATAAAACAGGACTGACATGGGAAAACTAAGAAAAGAGGAGATAAATAATGAACACTGCATTTAAAGAGATGAGGAAACTGTCTAAAAGAAATATACGGTTAGGTATTATTTACGTGACAACAGTCCAGAATAAGAGGTGCATAGCAAAGTGGACTGGGGGGCAGTGAGGAAATTGTGCAACAGCGAAAGAGTCTTTTTAAAGAGAAAAGTAAACTAGGGAGGAGGGAGGAAAATGTACAATGATAAATGAATGGAAATCCAAGATTTCCGTAAACTTTCATTAAAATATCAAGGAAAAGAATAATTTTTTTAAAAGGGGGGGAAAGTAAGTTAATGTCCTTGATCTGATTACAAAACAAACAACACGTGCTGAACAGAGGCGTTTCCGAAAATGCAGAGGACTGAAGGGCTCCCAGGGCGCCCACCCTGCTTGTTTCTTGGCTCTGCGTCTGCTTGTCTCTGGGGTAGACTTTTGTCTTTGGGAGTACATATTTTTGTCTTTGAGGACACACTCTTGTTCTTGGAAGTCCCAGATGTCTGCAATCAGTATTCTGGGACCAGAAAGGATGTGGTTGAGGACCCAAGAGTCCAGGACTTGGGTTCCATATGGACAACAGAGGTGGACCACTGACGCCCCCTTGAGGCAGGACATACACTCAGAAAGATGTCCCTGGTGAGGGGACCAAGTGGCCAAGAGAAGGGCAGAGACAGCCATGGGACAGGGACACAGAATCCAAATCGGGGCCCTCTATCAGAAGCTGGTGCCATCATCCATGGCCACAGCCTTGTGGCTGAGCCATGAGGGGACACCACCCTCACAGGGGTCTGCGGGCAGGCCCCTCCCGGGTGTGTCTCCTGCTGGTCTGTATCTTTGAGGTCAGCAAAAAGAACACAGTTTAAGACCTCAGTATCTCCAAGGCCAGAAAAGCCTTACCCCACACAGCCAGGTAAGTGTACACGCATGTGTGTGTATGCATGTGTTTGCATGCACGTGTGTACCTTCATATATGTGCATGTGCATACACGTGTGCATCTTCCTGCTAGTGCAAGTGTGTGTATGCATGCCTACGTGCATGAGTGGGAACCTTCCTCTGTGTGTGTATGCATGCCTGTGTATACATACGTGTGTGTGCACGCACCTGTGTGCCTTCTTAGGTATGTTTATGTATGTCTCTGTGCACGTTCATGTATGTGCATGTGTATGTGTGCACGCCCACGTGTGTAACTTCCTGTGTGTGCACGCATGCATGTTGTGTGTGCACGTGTGTGTGTATGGGGAGGTGGAATCAAAGCTGAGAGTCTCTAGGTTCCAGATATGTGACAGCAGTATGTGAGCTGTCAAGCTAGGGTGGTCCTCACACTGGCCAGAGACCCCAAGAGATCACCGTGTTCCTGAAAAGGCAGACTCCTCCCTACCTGCCCCGCCCCTCCCTCCCGCGCCTCTCCTCCCGCTGACCCGCTGAGCCGGAGCACCGTCCACTGGGAGCCTGGTGCTTTAAGAGTGCGATTTGCATGGCCCCGCCCCTGCCGCGGCTGGGTATTTAAGCTGCAGTCCGGCGGGTGCGCCCAGAGCGCAGGCTGCGCCTTCCTCCGCCAGATCCTCCCTGGCGAGCCCGGCCCCGCGTCCGCCCGTTCCGCGCCTCCCCGTGGCTCTCAGTGCCCTGCTGTCCCTGCTGTCGCCGCTGTCCCCTCTGTCCCTCGGCAATGCCGCGCGGCGCCGCCTGGGTGCTGCTTATGGCAGCGGCCCTGGGGCTCGCGGCGCGCGGGGTCAGCAGCGCGGTGGCCCTCGCTGACTTTTACCCGTTCGGCGCGGAGCACGGCGACGCGGTCACACCCAAGCAGGACGACGGCGGCTCGGGGCTGAGGCCGCTCTCTGCGCCCTTCCCGTTCTTCGGCGCCCAGCACTCCGGCCTGTATGTGAGTACCGAGCCCCGGGGTGGGCGTCGCTGCCGCCGCCAACAACTTGGCACGGTAGCGGCCAAAGGTAGAATGAGGACAGCGCTTCCTCCCTCCCGCGCCAAGGCGGACAGCAGCCCACGGCAGAGACGCGGAGGGGGGCGCGCAAGGCCAGGCACCCTGGCGAGGCGAGCGCACCCCTGCCTACCTGGCAATGGCTTGGGTAGGGTCCGCCCCGCGCGTCTGCCGGCCACTGGCCCCAGCGCAAGTGGCGTCTGGTTGACGCTTTTGCGGCCAGCGGACCATGAGCACACGCTGCCTGGCACCTAGGCTTTCCAGGCGGGGCGCCTCAGGCCGTGTGTCCTCCTCGTGCCGCCAACGTATCAGCCCTTCTTTCTGGGAATCCTGCACAGTGGCCAAAAGGTCCCACCCTTGCTGACCCGGACCCCAGAGGTGATGGTCCCGAGTGTCCGGGCCCGCTCCCCACTGCCCAAGCTCTCGGGGTGGCCTGACCATGCAGGGTGATTTCCACTGATCTTCCAGTGCCTGCTCTGACCCAAGAGGGGGCTTGCAACCCTGGGCATCCTGAGCCAGGAAACAGCCAGTCAGCTCCGAAGGACGGTCAGTCTTGGACCTCTGGAAGGATGAAATGCTCACAGGCAAACCTTCGTCGTGACCAGCATGGCACACCACCCCTCCAGCACCTTCGTCCCACCTTCCTCACCAAAAGCAATGCCCCATCCTTACCACAACCCTGCCAGCAGCCCTACCATTACCCTCAGCATAGTCCCAGCAATCTCACCTCTCACTGCCTCGACCATCAGTTAACTCTGCTGTTTCCACCACCAGCTCCATCAGCCCCACCATGACCACCACCGTCAACCTCACTGTTAATACCTCCACCATCAGTTCTACCACCTCTGTCACTGACCTCACCATCACCCCCACATCCATCCCCTCTACAATCACCCTTCTCATTAGGACCACCAACCCTGCCATGAACACCCACTTGTCATTAGCACCTCCACCTGTACCGTCACTGTTCCTGACACTATCAACCTCATTCCCTCCAACCTTCAGCACCACCTCCGTCGCCATCCATCAGTCTGCTCTCACCACTGTTGCCAACCTCCACCATTGTAGCTGCCAGCATCCTTCACGCCCCTCCACCCCCTGAGCCCAGCAACAGAATTCTCCCTGGAACTGTGAAGATGGTCCCCTTAACTAGGTGGCAGCCATTAGTGATGTGATGACAGCAGGTGAGCGTGTGGTCACTCTCTGTAGATGCTGCCCTGCCCTCTGTATCCTGGACTAGGATATGGGCAGAGAGGAAGGGTTTCAGGAAGTGTGGGGCAGTTGGGAAGGAACTTTATTGGACTATGTAAACCAAAGCATGGACCCTAGATCTGGGAAAACACAGTGTCCTCACAGAACATTTTGTCCAAATGTTCCTAGACACCTGGGCCTGGCTAAGCTTGCCCATTCAAAGATGATTCAAACATTTGACCTTCTAAACAGCCTCAATGAAAACAAAGAACCTTGCTGAAACAATGGGAGAAACAGCCCAAAAGTGGAAAGATCTGCTAGCAAAACACATGGCTTCCTCAGAAACGGGCAATCTTACTACTAACAAAATATTCGCTTACTTATGTGGACTTAGTGCAGCCCACTTCACCTCTGTTTTTTTCAGGAGGAAAGAAGATGAAATTCTTGAGGGAGCCATACCTAGGACAGCGTGCCTGGGATGGCAGACCTAGGACAGCGTGCCTGGGACTGCAGACCCCAGACAGCGTGCCTGGGACGGCAGACCTAGGACTGCAGGCCCAGGACAGCATGCCCGCAGCGGCGGCAGGCCCAGGGAGGCAGGGCTGTGACGGCCAGAGGGCTCTGTGGTTGTAAAGAGGGGGAGGGCATGAAGACAGCATTACTTGAGGGAGAAGGCTGTGTTCAGAACTGAAATTGAGGTGAAGGCAGTGACCCTAGTTTGGGTGTTGTTGCGTGAGTTTCCTGGGGTCAGTATGACACAGCAGCTCGTGCTGGTGGGCCTTGCTGGTGGGTTCTGACCCACTGAATCATAGTTGCTGTATCTATCTTTTTTTACATTATATGACTTCTTTTTTTCCCCCTCATCTTTACTTTGATGTCCTTCTTCACAGACCGGGTAACTTTAGACAGGATATATTATTCCACAGCTTAGGACTCTGAGTGAACCCAGGCTGTTACAAAGGGCATCTTCTCACCAAAGGCGCAGGGGATGGTCCTCTCTTGTCCTCCTCAGTATCTGGGGGCCCCAAGTTCTTGGCTTAGAGCTGCAGCCCAATTCCATGGTCAAATGGTGTGGTGTCTTCCCACTGTCTTTATGGTCCCTCAACTTTCTATAAGATGCCATTCAGGTGGGTCTGGAGCCCACCCTACTCCTGTATGAACTCATGTTCCCTAACAGGTAACACCTTCAAAGACCCAAATTTCAGACAATTGAAATTCACGGGGATCAAGGGTGGTGCTGTTGAGTCTATTCCAATCAGAGTGAACCTCACCACCCCAAGTGACAGAGCAGGGGGGACTCTCCCCACGTCACAGAGCAGGGAGGACTCTCCCCGTGTCCCAGAGCAGGGAGGACTCTCCCCGTGTCACAGAGCAGGGAGGACTCTCCCCGTGTCACAGAGCAGGGAGGACTCTCCTCATGTCACAGAGCAGGGAGGACTCTTCCCACATCACAGAGCAGGGAGTACTCTCTCCACACAGAGCAGGGAGGACTCTCCCCATAGTCACAGAGCAGGGAGGACTCTCCTCATATCACAGAGCAGGGAGGATTCTCCCCATGTCACAGAGCAGGGAGGACTCTCCTCATATCACAGAGCA